CAACCTTCCTTCCGAGGAGTGGCTGGTAGGTTTGAACCGCCAACCTTCTGGTTAGCAGTCAAGTGCCTTAGGCACTATGCTACCAGAGCTCCTTGGAGGACATTATGCTGAGTGAAATAAGTCAGTCACAGAAGGACAAATATTGTATTAGTTTGCTACTGTGAAAAGTCAAGGAAAGGGTTATATATGGAAGGAAACTTTCTTTGTTGGTTACCAGGGGTGGGAGGGGAGGAGAGGGAACACTGCTAGATAGGTAGAGACAAGTATTGATTTGGGTGAAGGGAAGGACAATGCACCAAATGCAAGTTATCAACACATCAACACAGTAGTGTTAAGGAAGAATATATATCTATATCTGTATCTATATTTATCTATATGTATCTATGTATCTATGTATCTATCTATCTATATATAAAGACCAGGCTTCCTAGTCTGATAGAGCCTGGTTAAACCCCTGAAATTATGTCCCTAGCTGCCTTTCAGGTCTGGAATTGAACTCACTCCTGTGGCTTCCAGCCAAATAAAATGTTCAGCTATGGGCTGAACATTTACATCAGTTAGATACACTTGTTGAAGAGATCAATCATGGGAGAATAGAAGGGCAGTGTATCCACAGGGAGACTGCTGGGGTAGTGGGCAGGAGTATATGGGCAGGAAGGACACAGGGAAGAGGTAACTACGGAGAGGAAGTGGGAAGAGAGCTATTACATTGTGGGAAATTGCAGTCAGTGTTATCAGACAAAATACACATGAACTGCTGTATAGAAAATGAATTTGCTCTGTAAACTTTCCCCCAAATCACAATCAAAAACAAAAAAACTAGTTTTTGGTGAGGATGTGGAGAAATTGGAATGCAGGGTTTGTTACTCTAAATATTATCATGCCACTAGTCCATAGTAGGAGCTCTGGTAGCCTAAGGCACTTGACTGCTAACCAGAAGGCTGACGGTTCAAACCCACCAGCCTCTCTTCAGAAGGAAGGTTGGGTAATCTACTTCTGTAGTGATACTGCCTGGGAAACCCAAGGAGTGGTCACTATGAGTTGATACCACCTCAGAAACCCAGCGAGGGGTCACTATGCCTCGGGTCCCACTAGACTGCACAACAACAACAACAACAGTCCATAGTGGTTAAAGAAAAGTAGTTGATCCACATACTTTGCATTGCCATAAAAAGGCATTTTACTATGAGAAAGAACAATGATTCTTTGTTTTGCTGCTGGAGGAAAAAAAAGTGCTAAAGGCTTTTAAGTGATTGGTGGCATAGTGCCTAAGGAATTTGATTGCAAACCAAAAGATGGGCAGTTCAAACCCACCAGCCACTCCTCAAAAGGAAGATTAGGCAATAAAACCTCAGAAACCCAAGGAGGGGTGCTATGAGTGAGATCTGACTCAAGGGTAGTGAGGCTTTTTTTTTACATATAATTCACACACCATAAAATTCATCCTTTAAAAACAGACATTTCAGTGGCTTTTAGCATATTCACAAGGTTGTGCAACCATCACACAACCTAATTTTAGATCATTTGTGTCAACCCAAGAAACTCCACATCCATTAGCACTCTCCACAGCCCCCTCTTTCCTTGTTCTCGGGAAATCCCTATCTAATTTCTGTTTCCAAAGATACGCTTATCCTGGACATTTTACATAAATGGAATCATACAATATATGGCCTTTTGTGTCGGTTTATTTCATTTTGCATGTTTTCAAGGTTCATCTATTTTGTAGCATGTATCAGTACTTCATTCATTTTTATGGCAGAATAATATTCCACTGTATGGATATTTTAATTTTGTATATCCATTATCAGGTGATGAACATCTGAGTTGTTATTATCTTTTGGCTACTATGAACAACACTACTATGAACATTCATGCACCAGTTTTTGTGTGAACATATGGTTTCAATTATCTTGGGCATATACCTAGAAGCAAAACAACTGTATCATACGGTAACTCCATGTTTTAACTTTTTGAGGGATCCACCAAACTGTTTTCCAAAGGAGCTATGCCACTTTATATTCCGACTGGCAATGTCAGAGGGTTTCAATTTCTTCACCTCCTAGTCAACTCGTTATTGTCCATCCTTTTAATTGTAGCCATTCTAGTGGGCATGAAGTTAGTGGGTGTGACAAAGCATGTCACTGTAGTTTTGATTCACATGTCCCTATGACTAATGATGTTGAGCATCTTTTTATGAGGTTATTTCAAGCCAGTGGTTTAAATTCTAAACCTAAACTTTTGTGAAAATTGAATGAAACAATCTACATTTACATTAATGTAGGGATAACTGTTCTTACACAAATATCTGGAGACACATCCTCATTTGAGGTGATGCTTTCTGAAGTTTTGAGAATTGCAAGGGGTCTTCGTTGAGCTAAAATCCCTGGTGGATCTGTAGAAGAACTAGAAAAAGACACAGTCTACTTAGTACTTTTTTTTCAGTCAGCAAGGGTTAACAGTAACCTAAACCATCCTCATTTATAATAGAAAACCTTTTAGGTTAAAAAAGAAAATCAAACCTGATATTCTTTTTCTCTGAAGGAAGAAACTCGTCAAATATGGAGAATGGTATACTTGGACCTACAGAAAAAGACACTAGATTCATACTTTTAAGAGTAAATGCGCTACTCTTTAAGACAACTAGACAAATCAATTTTTTGTGTTGTAGGTCTTTTTGTTTGAAAGTGGAAAGGCAATCTGTTCTTTTTTGTTGTTTATAATGAAAAATTTCAAACATATAGAGAGCATTTAATAATTTTTAACAATTATTTATACATATGTACACATACCAAATAATTACTTCATCTATATCCCTTGCCACTCCATCACTTGTCACTACTACCCAAATCCGATCCAAATCTGATTCTGAATCAATCCCAGTATCATGTCCCAATCATATTCTTTTATCTATAAATATTTTAGTATATATTTCTAAGAAAGGCTCATTTTTAAAAAGCATCATCTCAAAATATGATAGTACCTATAAAATAATTTCTTAGTATAAAATATTTCGTATTTTACCAATTCTGAATAATATTTTTTAAACTTTGAATTGGGGATAAGAATAAGATCCATATACCCTAACTGGCTGAAATGCTTTTTAAAGTTCAATTTATCTATAGGCTTCTCTTTCATCTTTTTTTTTTTTGGAGAAACTAGATCGTTTGTTCAATACTGCATTTTGTCAATTATATATATCTCCATGTGTTGTTTAACATGCTCTTCCATGCTTTGTATTTCCTATAAATTGATTAGAAGCTTATAAGATTTGGGCTTAATTCCACACCCATTCTCCCAAACTACTTGTAAGTGGATATTTATGTTTTTAACACTTGCTTCTGATTGGAAAAGAGAATCAAGTTGAATATAAAATAGCTTCAGTTTTAAACTTAAAAAAGATAAGCAAAAATAACACTTCCCTCACAGTCTTGGGGACTGGATACTACTGATATGCTTAGCTAAGCACACAGTAGCTAAAGTGGAAGATTATTCGGTAGTTAAACTATTTCAAAGCACCGAGGAATCTTACGGAAATACTTTTTCAAATGTCTAACCTATTTCAGATCCTATGATTATACTCAATTCCATGATCCAAAGACTTAGTCTCTCTGCCTTCTTTCAAATCCTTTTATCTTAATTAAGTATTTATCATTTGTTACGTAATGTATTTGTTACATAGCTTGCATTTTGCACTTTATCAACAAGCTGTTCATGAGACTGCCAAATACAACTCACCTTTAGAGTTAGGCTGTTCCTGACAAATGTTTTCTGCAAGTGAAGTTTCCCTGTGAAGAAACTTGTTTTAAAATAAGTACTCATTACCCACACAAAGAACTGTTTAATTCTTATAAGTCCAAGAGGTTTTCATTAAATATAATCTTATTTATTCTAGGATAAAGAAGTTATTCTAGTTTAAGATGGAACTTTTAGTCATTAAAAAACATTGTAAAAGTAAGCAATATTAATAGTGTAAATAGATTACAAAATGGTAGGCTGCCATTTTTATAAAAGCTAAGCAAAAACATAACACAATAGGAGAGATATACCAATGTTAATAGTAGTCATCTCTTGGCAAAAGAAATGAATGATTTAATTTTTTAAAATTATTTAAATTTTATTGTTTTTATAAGAAATGTATTTTTCATGGAAAGCCAGTACCCTGTTCTCCCTCATCAGCAAAGCTTATGTTATGACTGAGACTTCCAAAAATATCATGTCCCAATATTATATAAGAACCAAGAAGATACCAAATCACTCAAGAGTCAAAGGTTTGTTCTAAATGCCCTTCTGTAAGCATTGTCCTTTCCCCCAGTGTGTTCCTACCTGGCACAAGAGTTCGCTGGACAAAGAGAATTGAAGAGAACCATTGCTGGTACTTTCTGAAACTCAGAATCCATTCCAAGTTCAGCTGTCTCCTCTGTAGGCAATCTCTCTTCTTGCTGTTTGCATCAAATAAACAAAATCAATGTTTATCTCTCATTCAGAAAATGCTACCTACTTTCAAACTCTAGCTCTAACATTAGCTTTCCCATATTCTTCTCCTAACTACCCACTAACCATATAAAATGTCTGCATCATGAAAATTCTTTCCAATAATTTGTTTCTAGTATAAAATGGTAACATACTCAACTAAGCAGTGTCAAAGATATACAGAATTTCTTTAATTAACCCCATTTTAATGGAAAGTAATTAGAATAAAAAGTTAAAATCATTAAGTAAGAAATAATGGTTTTGAGTATTAAGTCAATAAACTATATCATTTATGTCACGTGCCACAAATTCCATTCCTGTTAAATTACGTTTCTGCTCAACTTTGCTGCTACCAATAGCTAAGAAACTGCTAGAAACTCTGCATGCGGGTTTGGAGGACTTACACCTTTGAAACTTTTATATTGTTTAAATTGGTTTCAACAAGCATTTTGTGGATTAAAAACAGAAAAATTACCTGATCATCTACTCTTTCTTGCTGTGTAGTCTGGATTTCTTTTAGCTTTTTCTCCATCTCTTCAATCTGTTTCTGCATTTCTGCTCTCTTCTTTGCATTGGTCAGTAGCTCCGCTAGAAACAGTCAAGTTGACTGAGGCATTACTCCTCACAGAGATTTATTTTATTAGAAACCATCTTTGGGGGTCATGTCCTCAACATATATGTTAATATTACAGATAACAATTATGTAAGTGGAACGAAGACCTCAGTGGAACAAAAACCTCAACTTGAGGTCTAGGCCTCTATTTTATTTATTCGATCAGTAAAAAAGTAGAATGCCTACTATGTGCCAGGCACAACTCTGAGTCCAATTAGGTTTCAGTGGTGAATAATACAAAGTCCTTGGTCTTATGACACTAACTTTCTATTTAGGGACTCTCAAACAAAAGCAAACTCACTGCTGGATCCAACTCATAGCGACCCCTCCTTGGGTTTCCGAGGCAGTATCACTACAGAAGTAGATTGCCCAACCTTCCTTCCCAGGAGTGGCTGGTGGGTTTGAACCCCCAGCCTTCTCGTTAGCAGTCAAAATGCCTTAGGGACACACACACACAAACATACACAAATTAATAAGAAAATCAATGGTAAAGAGAAAATAAAATGTGTGATGTGAGAATGTGTAAGTGAGTAGGGGAGATTGGAGGTCAGGAGCTATCTTAAGATCCGGACATCAGGGAAGATCGTTATGATAGTGGTTAAATCTAGAATCTGAATGACAAGGGACCAGTCCATGTAAAGATCTGAGGACAGATTCTAGGCCATGGAACTAGCTGACACAAAGGCTCTTAATACAGGAACAAGATCATTGTGTTCAAGGATGCAAAAGGCAGAAAGCATAGTTGCAGCATACTAAGAGGGAATATAGTAAATGATGAGCTGGAGAAGTTGGCAGGGACCAAGCCATGTGGAACTTCGAAATTTATGGTAAAGAGTTTGTGTTGAATTCTAAGATAATGAAAAATCACTGAAGAATTTTAAGTAAAGGAGTGACATGATCTGACTGAAGATCATTTTGGTTGCTATGATGAAAATGGATTGTGGTAGGGCAAGAATGAGGGCAGAAAGTCTAGGTGTAATAGCCCAACTGAAAACCTGTGGCTTGGATTAAGGTAATAGTAGAAACAGTAATAATGATAGATCTGGGATACGCCCTGGTGGTAGAGTTGATAGGGTTATTCATTAGATGTTGGGGAATGGTAAGGAAAGAAGGACCAAATAGGACTTAGAGATTTTTGGGGTTTGAACAACTGGGAACATGGTGGTATTTTTTATTGAACTGGGGAAACCTGGGAGGAAACATTTGTGTGTGTTGGGGTGTAGTGTGTGGCAGAAATCAATAATTCTGTTTTGGCTATGTTGAATTTGAAATGTCTATGAGGACAGCCAAATGTAGGCAACTAAATAGACTGGAGCTCAGGTGAAATGACAGGGATGAGGATATAAATGTGAGAGTCCATGGCTTGTAAACAGTCTTAATCCATTCAGATTACCTAGAGAGTGTTATGGGAGCTCTGGTAGCATAGTGGCTAAGGCACTTGACTGCTAACCAGAAGGCTGGTGGTTCAAACCCACCAGCCACTCCTCGGAAGGAAGATGGGGCAATCTACTTCTATAGTGATACTGACTTGGAAACCCAAGGAAGGGTCGCTATGAGTTGGGTCCAACTTGACGGCACGTAACAACAACAAAGAATTCTAGGAGTGGAGTCCTAAGCTTTATGAGCTAGAAGGAAAGACAGAAGTCAAAGAATAGGATGTTCAAACTTGAGATTTCTACAGTAGTTCATAGTTTTTGGGTGACAAGGTCAACATTAAGACCATGGAAGAGGGTAATGGACAGGGTTGCGGAAGAGATCACTAGAGGTGTGGTGGTGAAGGAACTGAGAAATCACGGTACTAGAAAGAGTAGGAAGTCACTGAGCCAGGTTCTTGGTCAATTAGTGACTGATGGATAGTGACTGGAGTGAGCACACTGAAGAAGTTCAGGACGTAGAAAAGAAGTTGGAGGACAAATCTGAAAAAAGTTTTGAAGGAAGGGAAAAATGGTTTGAAGTAGCAATAGAAAGAGAAAACAATGTTGTCTCTAGGCCCTGACTGTGGTTTTCTTTTTCTTGCATCCTTCTCTGAGAATAAGTAGTTAGCAAAAGTCTCTGAAGCCGTTCAATAGCTATAAGAACGCACTTTATTACAGGCAAGAGGATTTAGAAGGGTACAAAATATATATAGGTGAGAAATTATAGGTTCATGAACTAGATTCAGAGACCAGATTAGGAAATGTATTAAACAATCCTCAGAACTAAGTATTTCTTTTTACCTACTTAAATCTAAAATAACCTCAAAGTAGGTCCTTCTTTCACTAAGAATAAAATATACTTTCACCTTTCTTCTAAATACCTGATATAGGCCAGGTTTTTCTCTCAAGGAAATAATAGTTTTTATCTAGGCACCTAGTTCCTTTTCCAGCTCATGCTTGGCTACATTCTGAGCCTACTTCTTTATTGAGGTGATTCTTAGTTTTCAAAAGCCTTACTTAAGTAGCCCCTTTCTTCCAACCATTCCCTCTCTCCTACCTAGACACAGGTTTCACTTTTTAACATACTACTTAAGCCCAGAGCATTTTGTCAATCTTGGGAGGTATTTTCTTTCCATTACTAGTTGATATAACAAATCAAGGCAATCTTAAACTTACAACAATCTGTTTTACAGAGATTTGCTTCTACCTATCACTTGGAGCTCAAAAATGACTTTTCTTCAGAAATAAAGTGTGATGATTAAGTTTTTCAGCTAAGCCCCACAAATGGCTCATTCAGTTAAGAGAGTTGAACTATCATAATAGATTATTCTGGATATTCATGTAAAAAGAAACATTTCTTTCTTTATTTCCAGATATAGATCCTAGTTAAAATGTCTAAATGAATGAAATTTATTTCTGGACTCTATCTCCCTGCAGTGCAAAAGATCTTTCCAACCATGGTCTTAGAATTCCTACCAAGTGACTGGATGGAACTATGCAAATGAGATGCTTATGGCTCATTATGGGGACCGGATGTTGTTGTTGTTGTTAGGTGCCGTCAAGTTGTGTCCCACTCATAGCAACCCTGTGCACAGCAAAATGAAACATTGCCCAGTCCTGTGCCAGCTCTGTGATCCCTGCTATAATTGAGCCCATCATGGCAGCCACTGTATCAATCTATCTCGTTGAGGACCTTCCCCTCCTTCGTCAACCCTCCACCTTACCAAGCATGACATCCTTCTCCAGGGAATGGTCTCTTCTGATAAATAGGTGAGACAAAGTCTGGTCATTCTTGCTTTCAAGGAGCATTCCAGCTGCACTTCCTCCAGGATAGATTTGTTAGTCCTTTTAGCAATCCATGGTACTTTCAGCATTCTTCTCCAGCACCACATCTCAAAAGCATCAATTCTTCAATCTTCTTTATTCATTGTCCAACTCTTACATGCATATGAGGTAAGTGAAAATACCATGGCTTGTGTCAGGCACACCTTAGTCCTCAAGGAGACATCTTTGCTCCTCAGCACTTGAAAGAGGTCCTTTGTAGCTGACTTGCCCAGTGCTATACGTTGTCTGATGTACTGACTGCTGCCTCCATTGGCGTACCAAGCAATGTGAGGTCTTTGACAACTTCAATCTTTTCTCCATTCATCATGATGCTGCTCATAGGTCCAGTTGTGAGGATTTTTGTTTTCTTTATATTGAGATGTAATCCATACTGCAGACTGTAGTCTTCAATCTACATCAGTAAGTGCTTCAAGTCATCCTCACTTTCAGCAAGCAAAGATCTGTTGTCAGCATATCGCAGGCTGTTAATGAGCCTTCCTCCAATCTTGATACCACGTTCTTCTTCACATAGTCCAGCTTCTCAGATTATATGCTCAGCATATAGATTGAGTAAGTATGGGGAAAGGATACAACATTGACACATCCCTTCTTGATTTAGAAACCATGCAGGGTTCCCTTGTTCAGTTCGAACAACAGCCTCCTGGTCTATGTACAGGTTCCTCATGAGTATAATTAAGTGTTCTGAAATTCCCATTCTTCTTAATTTGTTATGATCCACACAATCAAATGCTTTTGCATAGGCAATAAAATACAAATAAACATCTTTCTGGTAGCCTTCGCTTTGAACCAAGATCCATCTGACATCAGCAATGATATCCCTCGTTCCACATCCTCTTCTGAATGCACCCTGCACTCTGGAAGTTCTCTGTCAATCGTTTTTGAATTATCTTCAGTAAGATTTTACTTGTGTTCGATATTAATGATATTGTTCAATAATTTCCACATTCTGTGGGATCACCTCTCTTTGGAATGAGTGCAAATATGTATCTCTTTCAGTCAGTTGGCCAGATAGCTGTCTTCCAAATCTCTTGGCATAACCGAGTGGAGTGCATCCAGTGGGGCATTTGTTTGTTGGAACATCTCAATGGATATTCTGTCAATTCCCAGAGCCTTGTTCTTTGCGAAGACCTTCAGTGCAGCTTTGACTTCTTCCTTCAATACCATTGGTTCCTGAACATATGCCACCTACTGAAATGGATAAACATCGACCCGTTCTTTTTGTTATAGTGACTGTGTATTCCTTCCATCTTCTTTTGATCCTTCCTGCATCATTCAATATTTTGCACATAGAATCTTTCAATATTGCAACTCGAGGCTTAAATTTTCTCCTCAGTTCTTTCAGCTTGAGGAATGCCAAGTGTGTTCTTCCCTTTTAGTTTTCTAACTCCAGGTCTTTGCACATGTCTTACAGTAATTGGCTTTGTCTGCTTGAGCTGCACTTTGAAATCTCCTGTTCAGCTCTTTTATCTTGTCATTTCTTCCATTTGCTTTAGCTACTCTCTGTTCAAGGGCAAGTTTCAGAGTCTCTTCTGACATCCATTTTGG